ATGGGTGTTCTCTGATAAGCCCAGACCAGACTCGGACTCACCTCGGGATTGATTGGGTTGCGAACCACGGAGATTCAATCAGCAGTTAATAGGCGAAGCCAAATTGAATCATATAACTTTTTTATTTGTTCCTGAACACTTCTGCAACGCGTAATTCTGTCCGACTGGGTCTATAGATTGCTTGGGCGGATGTCCCAGGCTTGGCCAATTGCTCCACTTTGTCTCTTCGGAATGACCTTCGTTAACTCAATTCTAGTAAATTGGGACTATTGTTGAAATCCAGCGAACGTTTCGACAGCATTTACAACCCATCATAAGAAACTAACTTTAGCAGTGAAATCGGGCCAAACCACGCCTCCAGCGAAAGTCTATCAGAAATCTTCCTTGTTTCAGTAGCTAGCAGGCCGTGTTGCCCACATTTTTGCTACGCGGGTTCCTGTTTTTGATTACTAAGAGCCAAAAACATTTGGTGTTGTCTTTTTCACATAAAATGTGTACTTCGAGTGCATATTAGTCCGAATCAGTGAATGAGAAGCCAAAAAACCTCCTGCTCTTTCCCACTGCCAAATGAATAGAAGCAAACCTAATCGGGAGCAAAGGCGAGGGAGCTCAAGAGCGGATTAGTTGATAGAGGACCTGGAGCCACGACCCATGGGCTAATACTGTCGGCCTATCACCCAGGCATGCAACTCGAGCAGTTCGAAATAGACTTCATGGAGAAGCTGAAGGGTTAGCGGTGAGGTTGAGGGGTTAGTTAATTGATGGTTTCACTCTCATTCCAGCTTGATGTTTTCGATCGGATTTGCACGACAGCTTGACGAGAGTCATGTTTTTTTCAGAAAAAAGAACTCATTCATGGAAACTTTATAGGTTTTTTGATTAAGCCCACTAGTTTATTCAATTATTTGCTTGTTTATTTATTTTATTCAGGAAATAGTATTTTAGAAATGCAATATCTTCAGTTCCGTCATTTCAACAGTTTTTCGCCCATGAAAGGAGTGGTTCAAGGAAGAGTTTCTTCCTTGGAAATCTGTTGTCCCCTTTCTGGCTGCTCATTTTTTCGTTACTTTTCCGTGTTCTATGGAGTGAAAGTAGCATACGCATAATGCTTTTGGTCACGTCGTATGTTTACCAAAGATCAACATATCATGAATCCAACGACGTCAGAGGTAGAGGAAGGAAGGGAGTGGGGAGATTCATTATCGCCACAACGTCATCAATAAGTTCCAGTTTCGGGGACAATTAACGGCTTTGTTCGCTCCACTGCACTCTTAAATATCGCCACAATTCTCACCGATGCAATGATTTGTCGACGTGGCCTCCGGTCACTGTGGGAAGGCTTTCAAGGACACTATCCACTTCTTAAGTGATAGTTCGTTCCCGTTGCCAACTGAGACCTCAGCAGTCCTCCTTTTCGAAGTCCCATCAAACTTGAATCGCTGTAGAAGTAGTATAAGGCGAACCGTCATCTTTCGAGGCCAGCGATGATCCGCTGTCTCCAGGTGCAGAGCTACTTTGGGGTTTCCATCTCCAAACTGTCGCCTTTGCCGGGCTCCATTCAACCGAAAGAGTGCCACGACATTACCAACACTGATGCAATAACAAGTAGTGACTTTCAATGGGTGTTGCCTAAAGTATTCAGGTCAATAGAATTCGGTCCACAGCCGCGTGACTTCTGGTGAAAAGCAATTCCGTAGTATGAATTGAGGATAAACGGCTTGGTGTTGGCCACCATTACTTGACAAACGCCTAGTATTCGTTTTTTTTNTTTTTTTTCATTCAGAATCGCAGTGCATTCTGAATGGAATATTTTGTTCAGATTTTCTACTTGACTCTGCCATTGCGAAGGCTGAGTCACGCTTATTCCATCCACCACAGCTCGATATATGTAGGTTATACCTGTTCCAAAAACGAAAAATCCGCACGCCTCCCAGCTCCCCTACTCCTACTGTAAAGTCTATTGTAGTAATCATTCCACAGTCGCCGGATGAGTCAGAATAGCCAGTGTATAGCAGCTTTTCAATATTGTGTTTTGGTGTGTTTTTTCAATAATGTCTTTCGGTGAGGGTGGTTCCAAGTAGCGCACTAGCACACACCTATGACCACGGGTCCAAATATCGGATCTAAATCCTTAGGTGAAAGCTTTTCATCCCTCTGGAGTCATTCAATTGGTACCAATTTGAGAATGTAAAAGCTCTACTCTAAACAACGTCCTGCCACCGCAAGTCATTGTATGGACCACATACGCATTCAGTATACTACAATTCTGAACAGAGCTCGAATGCAAAGGGGCATCCCAAAATGATGCAGCCTTTTCGCTTAAGACTTCATTTTCTACTAACCTTTCATTTTTTGCATATTACTTGTCATTCCATGCTACTGCTTCTTTGGGCAGAACTGATGTGTTGCTAAATGGCGCACTATCCCTGCCAAGGATCGAGTCTCGGTTTCTTACCCGCCAAACCACGTAGGCCTTCCTCCCTTCTGGGAGAATCGGGAGTACCACGGCAAAGATTCTTGCATAGGCTAGCTACCGCAAGTCAGTGTACAGGCCGTCTACACAACCAAAACGCCTACGCGATTTTGGGTAAAAGTCGGTGCGGGAGTGTATGTCGCTAAAGGGATTGATTAAGTCAGAAAGCTTCACTTCTATCGTTCATAGTTGTTACGTTTGATTTTCTAGTTCAAAACTGAATCTAGCTCTCTCTAGTATTTTCTCTAATCATGCAAAGCTTTCATAAGGATGTGTCAGTTTTTCAGTTAGATCTGTCTGTCTAAAACTGAGCTGTAGTTGAAGTGTGATGCTGTAAAAAGCGAGTGAATCTCGGACTCATCTGTAATTCACAATGAGCAGAAACACCACTACGGTCATGCTCATGTAGGCGCAGAATCTCTCTCTTTTTAACTTTGATAGCTCAGATTCTCTGGTATTTGCTCCTATAAGCTCACTTATCAGCCCAGGCCATGAACGCTCAACGCTGTAAACCACCTTTAAAGCGTGTAAACGAATTAGTCCAGGCTCACTGGAGGAGCACGCTAATTCAATGGTCCGAAATTCAATTTCAACGTCAGGCGTACTGATTATTCCACCAACTCGGTTTCTTAGCAGAAGTTACAACTATACTACGAATATTACTGGAAACTTGGGTTACCTACACCATTACTTGGGTAATGGAATCGATACATGTCTACACTGCAACGCCACTAATCCCTCTGATCTCTGAAGCTTCTACCTTCCCATGTGACTCAGGAACTAATCAGGTTACCACTGCTGATTCGAGAGGTCCAGCTTGTTTCTTTGTCTGTTGTGGTTGGGCCGTCTATCTCAATGGATAAAATTCATGGCAACCTGATACAGTGGCTGAGCAACTTCTCAGTTTTAGGTCTTTGATATTCTCTGCTCAGTAATACAATTGTTGTATGGCCGGAGCTATCAGCTGAGTAATAGGAAGGCTGATGTCAGCGTCAATTGATTCTAACGCCTCCAGCATCCACTGACGTCAAAAAAAATTACAAAGGAAACGAAAAACATGCCTATTAATACATGTGGTGAATTGTAATCAGATATCAGAATAGGAATTACCTGATTAGCATGACAATGCTTTCATTTTGACTCGTCGCCGACGTCATGAAGTAGTGTCGGGAGTAATTAGACGGAAAATAGGGTTTTGCCGTGTTTGAAAAAGCATATAGAACAACAAACAGGTTGAATCTGCATGAATGGAACTTCCTGGTTGCTCCCTGGTTTGAATGTCCCTGGCGTTTTGACTATGTGATGCTGTAGAAGCTCTTCTTGGCTCTTGACTATGTGATGCTGCAGAAGCTCTTCTTGGCTCTTGACTATGTGATGCTGTAGAAGCTCTTCTTGGCTCCAGAATCCGTTGTCGAGGCGAAACCACCACCAAACCACTGTTCCACTATCGGTTGCTCTCACTATAGTTACCACTGTCTCAGATTCGTAGCCTACGTTAGAATTAGCTGAGGTCTGAAGTGCCGTTTAATTGGAATGACTCACAAGTGCTTTTGGCTTGCCCGCTCTGACGTAAGCCGAAATGAGGCTGAAACGTCAATTGAATAAATCTGAACTACCTTGGCCAACGCTTCATGAGGCATCGGTCATACAGGCCTCATACACCCTTTTAGGATGTCACTTTCTCTGAGCAAAAGGTTGTTGGATAGGGCGCTGTATTTTGATCCCCTGGACATCCTTACTGTTAGGACCAAATCCTACTGTCTGCTCCTCTAAACGAAATGGATTTTGCCGTATTGAATAAATTCTTGTGTCTTGAGAAGTACATAATTTCGTTTTTGGGGACTTCCCTTACTACATTACAACTAGGCTCTTAATAGGAAAATCTAGTTTGTAGAAAAAAAAATGATGCTTGTGGCACACTTGGATTAGTCTCATGCACTTGTTCCCAGACCCGCATGCTTGCCGAAATCGCAGAGCACTTTTTGAAAGACTTTTTTGACTTTTGAGACCCTTTTTTTCATTTCCCAATCCTCTTGTGTGGATAGTTCTGTCCCATTTTGACCAATTTGCTCCTTATCGGATAGTTCTGTCCCGTCCTGTCCAATATGCTGCCAGTCTGATTCAATGTATGTGCTCCCAAGTGGCTGAGAGGGCTATTGAAGCTTAGCCTAGGGGTTTTTGTGGAAACATCTCGCCTCACTCTAGTAATTTGAATACTTGAAGTTGTAATCATAAAGTTCCACGGACAACTAGTTGATTTAATCAGCTGCTTTATGAATAGCTATTTTTGAATTGTTTTTTTGTTTAAGCTGCTAAAATCTCTTACTAACGGGGGCGTGGCCTATGTACCTACTGTTGAAACATATGGGAACAATTAGCCTTTTCACAGCAGCTTCAGCCCTAAGCATGGGAAGTCGGTAGTCTTTCCAAGGTCTCAGTATCTGAGCAGATTTACTTTATTTTGACAAACCTTAACTTTACTGTAATATAGTATCGTTTGGCTAATTACCACTAATGAACCTTCTGACATACACATTTCCTCATATGGCATCGAAAAAGCTCATGTTGTAGTAAGTCTGTCATTCCACAGCTCATAACGACCTCGTCAACTCGGCAAGCACCCTTACAATCGTTAGGTGCATTCTGCTCAAAGGGTCATCTCATGGCTTAACCTATGTTTGGCTCCGATTTATTTATGTTTTTTTGCAACTTTTGCATCTGCTACCTTTGATAAAGCAGATGTTAGTAGCAGCAAAACCAATAGAAGGAAGCAACTAACCCCTGAAACTCCCACGAGATGTTTACCCTTCACTTTTTTACAAAATTATATCCCGGTATAATTCTGTTGTTATGACATTATCGCCCAAGATTTCCTAATTCTCCCAGAGAACGTTCAACCGTTGGTCGTTAATGCCTTCACCCAGTTATTGCAAAATTATTGTTTGGATTACGTCTGTCTGAACAGTTGCAGCTGCCCGTGGGCGGTAAACGAAAGAAAACAACCACGGCGGACAACCAACGCCTTCAACGGCGGATGTTTGTGTCCCTGACATTGAGATGACGTTTTATTGATTTCAGCTACGGTCGTTTGTGCTTGAGAACATGAGTTCCCTTTTTCGACGTTTATCTGATGATAAGGTGGAAGACAAATGCATGGATCTCATCGTCAATTCACTTCGATCTGATGATTCCAGTGTTCAGGTGAGATTTGACTCATTATTCTTTTTTTTCAGTTTTGTAACCAGACCGTCCATGTAGTCTGCGAAACAGTAATGCCAGAGTTTAGGGTCTCGAGGGACGAGCTGTTACCTCTCAGGGCTAGACACCGAACGGGTCGACCCGGGTGCCCACTCAACTGCAACCTTCTTACCTACTAGTAAAAGCACCTACTTTCATAAGGGGTTGCATTCACGATTCCTTATGCCAGAACACTCTTTAACTTACTATCAATCTCAGGTTAGTCTTCGACATATCGCGGGAGGACTGACCACACCGCTTCCGGGAGACCTAAGTTACTGGATTGGTAACTACCACATGTAGTACAATAGTTGCACAGTTGTCAAATCTTTATATGATATAAGTACTATTTATGCGACAAACCAGTAGTTGTAACCAGTGTTTTTTCAAAATTTAATGGTGCTGTTCGTAGTTTTATGAGCTGATTAGACCGTTATTACGCCATAGCGCTATGAAAGCCACCGATTACGTGCATCAGCACAGTGTCGACGTCCATTTGCCATTTATAGCTATGAATCCTTGACTCTCCTCGATAGGGAATGCATTTGCTGTTTTTAAAGGCATCGTTAACATGATTTTGGGTAATCCAGATTATAATGAAAAACGAAAGACAAGATCGAAACTAGTGCAACTGAGGTGAAGAAACTGCGTGCATCGAAGTTTTCAC